GGACTTTTCAACATAAAGTTCGCGCTCATTAACAAGTTCAAGTTCAGTAATCATTTTTAAACGACCAACTTCTCATAATAGATACTTCTAAATATCAATTCTACACGTCGTACGCTGATAATGATTTGAAGCAATGATTGACGGAGACAAAAGCAGAAGTCAACTCGAAAAATAGGCAGACGAAATTTCTTTTTGAAATTAATGAGGAAAATGTAACATGGCCAGACATTAGGACGTTTAAAAGGTGTGATACTATTAAAAACCATGCGTGTGATACATTAAAGGTAAGCCGCCGTGCCACAAAAGGTATTGTCGACTGAATATTTACCGGCGGTCACAATTGCTAGCCGTTAAAAAAAAAGTCAAGAAAGTGAATTAATCAATATGTTTAGCGATTTAAGATGTACTGATTTTTATAATAATATATAGTTGGTAGTAGTTGAGATCACAAAAATATGGGCCTAATGCCTATAGATTTATCGTCTTAATTTTCGAAATTGTCCATGGCGCCAAATATTCTATGTGTGTAGTGAGTATAGAATGAGTAAAAATAATTTGCATTGTATTTTTTCTCTGTATTGTTTATTATCAAATATTATGCAAACAAAAATATTTCTTTCATGTGAGGAAGTTTATATATATTTTATAGATGAATGCATAAGAACGCCTATTCTTACCTAAAAGAGTTACTTTACGGACCTTAGTGGAAGTAAAATATGAATGACGAAGTAAGGTTTCAAAGCCGGTTCCTTAAACTATTGTTTTGAAAGGGCTTGCTTTGTAGACTGACTATATTGGCGCCTGCGTTTATGAGCCCTTTCTTCTGCATAGCGCCTTGAAAAAATCATGCAAACAACACGTTCCCCGACTGTTGCATGCAGGCGTACACTGCCGATCCATCATCCATATTCAAATATTGGCGCTATAACCAAGTCGCAAATGCAGTTGATAGCGCGTTTATCAAAAAACGGTACATAAAGTGCTGTTTCAGTACGGACTTGAGTCGGATGGTTGAGGTCGTCAACCTTTTTAGCAGAGGAAGTTGTTCAAAGGTCCAATGGTCGTACACTGCACAGCACGGTGCACGTCCACGACCTTCTTGAGCACAGGTTCTAAGCAGAAATTACCGGATCTGCACCTAGATACTCGAAGAAGATTCACACGGATGAAGTTATTAGTGCAACAGCTGAAGACATATTCAAGAATGACATTCCTTCGTTTCTCATCTGATGTAACAGTTGAGCCCGTCAGTAAGGGTTATCGTTTCCGAAACTGGATAAGTTTTACTTGGAAGACCCTCTAACCTTTAATAGTACATTCGAATACTGAAGTTATCAAAGAAGAAGTTTGATAAACGCACAATTTCCCACGAGTCAACCATGACACGATGGGCATTCAGGCGATCTAACGCCGCTAGGTTTTTCCCTATAAAAACTTGTACATATACATATATATGCTTCTGAAGATTAAGAAACTAAGTGAGCATATTCGTTGTGGAATGTTGACAGTTACGCCCTATTTGTGTAGAATTTGCATTCGGAAAGATCGCAATTGGTCGACTTTGTTTTTTGAGACATAACGACAAGCATCGTCCTTTATGATATGATTGTCATATTTTACAGATTCGACAAAGAGCCGTTATCTGTCATAGTTAGAAATTGATAAACCCGGAATGGATGCCACTTCATTATACATCGAGTCACACTGCCTTCGTCGTGGGCTTCGGCTTAGTTGCTGTGTCCTGTTCTAAGTTAGTCAGCTTGAGTAAGTGCGAAGTTGACGAAAGATTATTATTAGAATCGATGCTGACGTTAGATTCGTTAACGATTTTTCATTTTCCATTTAATTGACCTTATTTTTTTTTCATTGTTACTTGTGCTGCTGTATTGTTAAAGGAAGACCGCCCATGTTTTCTTGTATGCGTTCCCATCGGAAACAATGCTACGCGACACTACCCGGACGTAAAACATCTACTTAGGTACACATGGTCACAAACATTTTGTTCCCATGGCTTTTCGCATGTACTACGCACACGTGGCGATAAAAAAAAATAATTTTATCTTCTTTTTCTTAAACAATAAGGACCACGATTATTCAGTCTTCGTGATCAACGCGACTGACCATTGAAACGTTTCGTATTCTAGACATACACACGGTTTCATTTCCTCATTGTCTGCATATTACCTCGTCTGTTCACCTCCCGAAGGCCAGTTTTGGAAGCAAAGACATTGCTAAAGGTATAGATGCGAGCCATTTCGAAAGATTTTACCACAGTAGGAAGTTGTACTGAAAGTGTGCGCAAAGACAGGAGGCAAGACCTTCTGCGGCACATGGGACTTTTGCGCGAAAAACGAAGCACCAAAGAAGCGGTGGGGCGAAGCGAAGATACGGAGAAGGGGTGGGTGGTTGAAAATACCTTGTACTTCATCCGTCCGCAAGTGAAGTGGGCATTATGTGGCAGCGCGCTTCTAGGGCAGCGGCTGCAGAGGGTGCATGGTCTGTCCCGTTTATATGGAAATACGCAACGCCTGCCTACCACCGTGATACCACTTTGAGTCGTGCCATTCACATACTGTAGAGCACACACTTCCTCCGCTGTTACGAGGCGCAGCACGAACTGCTGCCACTTCAAGTCACTTGCTTGTTCGTCTCTCAACCTGCGCGGAAACTCCGCAGAGGGGGTATAGAAGAGAGTCCGCAAAGAAAGAAACAGATGAGGCTAAGGTGCTTCTTTCCACTCAATGCTGTCCTGGCTGCATTTGCCGGCCCACCTGGACTGCCACCGGCATAGGACAGTTCTAACAGCAGTCGTCTCCTGATTGACAAACGGGTCCTGGTCTTGCACGCCAGACGGAAACACGTGTAGCAAGCGAATGGATTTAGCTGGGATGTGTTAGTCAAAGTAGATTCTTTGCAGAGATATCAACAAAGACCGAACTCGAATAGAAACCGCAGACATAGAACTATCGGAGAAAGAAGTCGGTGAATGTAGGGCATCGCGACATGAAGGTGCGACTGAAGAGGTTCGTTATTCAGCGAGTCAACAAATTACAGCAGATACTTGAACAGAAAAGGTACAGAAAAATTGTTGGACAGGCAGAATCTTGATCTAGATCTCGCAGACGAATATTAATCGGTACATGGACAATTTTTATATTCTTTCCAAATAAAAATCGACTTGTGCCAATTTGTGCCTGTTCATTTTTTTATGGTTTCTAACAAACTGCTTTTTAAGCTCTCGTAATGTCAGAATAAAAGGATACTTTTATTGAAAAAGTATGGACCGAGAAACCTGACGTGTTCTCTATTGTCGAGCTACGAATGCCATGAAATATTTCCAAATCGTACTAACATGGGTCTTCAGTTCGCGTAGATTTTTACTTTTTTAAATTCAATAGTACTGATTAGTATAAGAAAAGATTACTGACTTCTAACTGAAATCATAACGAAAATTAATACGTTATTTTATGACAGCCTAAAGTTAAGTGTGCTTAGGCATCTAGATACCAATTTTTTAAAAAAAATATCAGACTTTCTTAACCTATCCAAAAGCGATCAGCGTTTATTATTCGTCAAAGGCGGATGTACTAAACATTTTGAATTATGAATAGGACGAAACACGGCTACATAAAAGCAAGCAGATTTTCTTCAAAATTACTCAGAAGTATATACGGTACATAAGAAATCTTCACTCAGGGGTACACGTCAGGGTACATAGAAATAGATTACTCACGTGCAGCGTCGACTGAACTCACGGCCCCACGAAAATAAACATATTAAGGTATCAATAGTATTCAGATCATGAAGTATGAGATGCATTCTGTGATCAAACGCTCGACGCGTTCAGATCAGGCGTTCTATGTTGATCAGCAGGTAAAATTTAGGGTAAAACGAAGGACATTATATGAGTTTGAGATTCGCTTAAAGAGTTCTTCCAATAAGATCACTAGTGTTTTAAAAATACTCCAGCTTTGTTTTCGCGTCTACTATCGTAGGGTTTCCAGTTCCCTAACTGCATATTACACCTGATGCTTGAGGGTTTCGAAAAGCATTCACTCATACAAAACAACATGTCATGGAAAAGTACTTTTGTTGTAAAGCTATTATTCTTAGTTTAATGGTAAGATGCGCTATTAGTGCCACCGTGTATTTTTTCCGAACCACAGTAACAGCACAGGGCGATCGAGGTTTTTCCGGAACATCGTATTTTATGTTCACAATTGAATGTCTGCCATGAAGAGTCAGATCAAGACTCTTAAATGCTTCTATTAATTACCGAGGAATACCAGTCAGCCTAGCGGGCTTTTTAACAAGAGGGAAACAAAAACTAATTACTAAACCGAAGGGCAATATAATACCTTGAGGCCAGCGTAGTAAGCGCAGTTTATAAAAGTTAAGAGAATTTTACAGGTTTTCTATTGCAGCCTGCTTTCAATGTGTGTTCTAGCTCCAAAAAACCTTTGCCGTTCGGGCGCAATGCGGGAAACACTTGCGTGTCACAACTTGAAGTGAGTTCCAACCTATGTCCGTTGGATGGCGCCACCAGCGCCGATCGCTAACAGCTGTGTCGCAACCGAAGGATTCCGTTCTAAGCTGCTACGACGAAGACTCGTGAAGAAGTGACCGTTTGTCCTGGTTAGAGTGGGGTTGATTATTGTCATTTACCGTTGGCGTCCGTAGTTAAGACAGGGTTAAATGTTGATAGCAGAGATACAGTTCTTAGGTTCTTTAGGTCGAGGTCTTGGCTGAAGACATAACGTGTCCAAGATTAACGTGTCAATGCCGTGACGGGTGATCGTACAGTAGAGTTCAGAAAGTTTGTAATGTTGAAGATGACCAAGTGACATTGTGCCGGGATTCGTTCCAAGCCTATTTAGCATGCGTATGGTAAAGCAAAGCGCAAAATGTTATTGGAATAGGGTGAACGAAACGTCAAGCAAAATAAGCATGTGTATTGCTTGCAGCAGAATGTCCGATTCTGGTTTCAAATCAGTTCTTACCAACAGGTTGGGTTTATCCATGACACTGAGGCTGAAAATGTACGAGTTTTTTGAGGCGAGGTGGTGTGTAAAAACAGCTTCAATGTGAGGTTCACCTGTGGAAAAAACCGTTGAGATGCGTTGTTACGTGGCAATGTTTATAGAAAAATGTACAGTTTAGTTAATGAAGCAAATAAATGTAATAGAGAAACGATTGTGCAATACTTGATTTAGAAGTTAAATAGTAAAATAATAGCTGCTATGCTAATAGGATAAAACAATAGATTTTTTAGCATAATCTATAGCTCTTCTTCGAAGATACCGAGGTTTGAGTATAGCACTGCTCTGTACACTTGGGTAATATGCTATGCTTTTGTTCTTCGTTGAAGAAGAACGTAGCCATCATTCATAACACGATTTCTGATGTCACCGGTGCGTTTACTAGTCGCGGTTTTGGTCTGTACCGCAAAATTTTAAATCAGATCATATGTACGTATACATGGCGTGTCGCAACAGCATCAAATGGTATGCAGTATTGATCATATTGTATTCTGGGCCTTCGAGGCCTGTGATTCGTAAAAAATTCTATTGAAACTAATTTACATTTTGACTCTGTATATCCAAATCACTGCTTATGTCATAAACACGGGTATGCTGTAAGAACAGTAATGCATATATATTGAGAAATGACTTGGTGGACGACAGGAGACCCCGTGTAAGAACAAACAGTTCGCGAACAAACAATTGTCACACTGTGGACAAAGAGATATTCTATTAGGTTAGGAAAAGTATTCCGCGTTTACTCTAAACGCAGTTAAAAGTTAACTGAAAGTAAATTATTACACAGAAAACTTTGGTTGATAGATCAAATGTTCATTAAGCACTTAATAGAAGAAATATAAAAGATCAAGAAATAATCTGGCCGTTTAATGTACTGTAGTAGTTCTTGTGGACATTGAAATGGTGCAGTGATATACGTCGGTGTGCTTAACTTAATTGTTTTCCTCATCAGCTCTTTTATTGCGATTTCTTTATCTTATACACATACAGGAGTAGAGCCCCCGAGTAGGAAAAAAAAACGAAAATCTGCGATTATCACAAGCTGGCCTATTGAGCCTGTGAAGGAAGCGCAAACGTAAATGCATCCCGGGATTAGGTATTATGATAGTAAAAAGCCACTAAAATTATAAGACAAGTACGATAAATTAAGTTAAATTAACGATAAGAAGTTAAGACGAAGCAAAGAGTGCCTAGAAGAAATGTAATAACTGACAGAGTCACTCTAACTAAAAGACAACTCTCGAGCAGAGAATGCCCCGTGATTAGTTAGAGAAGCAGCAAAAATAATTAAGTTATCGATAAAGAATATTAAACAAAAATGAAAAAATGTGTAACAGCTCTTCCCAAGTTGACCAGCATGGGAAGACAACTAGAGCTCTAGTATACAAAAAGGCGAAAGGTTACAAAAACGTATCTTAAAGATGACTGAAATGTGCTTTTTTTCTAAGGATGGTTGCGTGCACGAGACATATGAAACAGATATGCATTTTTTGTTTTTTTTTTATAAAAAGCATTTTTAAAAATAAAAACAGCGATCACTATATTGTTAGACGACACAGGTGCAACATGTCAATGCTGAATTGCGGATCAGGAATGGCCTCGTATCCATGGCGACGTTTGTTCGATCGAAAGATTCGAAAAAATGCCGATTAGCGATCCACACTTCGTCGCTTTTTATTGTATTGTGCTAAGTCACTTTGATTGAGCACATATATAGAATCATAGTAATTATTCTGATTAACAGAAACCACGATCAATTTGTGGCGTTTCGAAACGAAATCTATCTTTTAAAGTACCATTTGTTTGCAATAGACTTTGGTTCAGTTTGAAAACGCAAACTGATTGTTCGATTAGAAGGGTAAATCTCAAAATCTAGATTCGTTCCGCGTCTTTCTTTCGTCCCTTGTCGCAGCAAAAATTCAGATGTCACTCGTTCTAGCCAAATTCGGTAGAGTGGCAAATGGGCGTCTTGCCCATTTCAGGGATAGGTACCTGTAACGGTGAGATACAATTCAACATAAATTCTGCTCAAGCTTTGTATATATAAACAAATAGTAATTATTTACAGTAAATGATGACGCGTTAGTTGATTTCTTCGAAAGACAACTTGCGGTGCTTCGAAATATGCTTCGGCTCAAAATATCACGAATCGATCGTGCTGTACCCTAATAGAATGCCGATCGAAAGAACACATACAGTAATATGAGAGTAACGTATCTTTCTCAAGTCATATATACATATATATAAATTGTTTGTGGCATTCAACAACATCGATAAAAGAAATAAGTAACAAGTTTTGCATCTTTTATTCTGTTGACAATTCAATCAGAATTAAACAAATCGTTAAATAAAAATCTATAACACTTCTTCGTTAGAGTATTGGTTCAGACGGCTCGCGAACCCTTTCAGCATGAAGCTGAAAACCATGTATTTTTCTACAACCGGTTTCGAAGCTTAACTTCAGATTTGGTGTTACATGTTCTCTGCACAACATAACTGAATACGTTGGTACCTGTTTTTTAAAGGCCTCCACTTTCTGCTGGTAAATAGGAAAGCCCAGTTTGGTTGCTTCTATGTGTATGGTGTTCAACAAAATTACTCATTCCCTTTATGTCGCCATCTATAAAGACATAGTTTATACTTTTGTCGTGCGGCACTTGTCTATACGGTGCTAGAAAGAAGTCAGACGAGCTCATTCGTTCATATTACGTCAGCAGACTACTTACCTGGCCACTACATTACGAGGTTTACATTTGTTTTTAGGATTGGTTTACATTGTGAAAGGAAGGCAGCTGATGAAGGTCAGATACAGAGCAATCTTTTTTGCATCATTGATGCCCGGTGAAGCTTTTTCCTAGAGCTCGCTTAGGCTTAGAACCAATTAGTACCGATGCAATGTGATGTTTCAATAAGTGTGTGTACAAAGACGGATGTATATACAAAGCAGATGTGCTTCGTCTATGCATCCTTATATAAACGCCGTCAAAACGTACTTATCAGCGAATATAATTAATTCAAGGCTACGGTTTTGATGAACTGCTGTCCTTTTATTGCGATAGTGCCTGATAAGGTCTTTGGACCTTTTTGGAAAAAGGCGCATAGTGAAGGGTGTAAGTCAATACGAACCATAATAAAATCCTCAAGAAGATTTGAAGAATGACGTTTCAGATGATCGCACACTTCGTGAAACTTTAATCGGTTTGGTGCTTGGCTCATACGCAAATAGCTTTTTTAATATAGAAAAAGTTAAATAGTCAGTCTTTTATCATATATTGGTGAATGCTTGCAAGCAGTATCAGTAATTGCTCTGCTAATTTCTGTATAGTCGATTGGCTGCTATACTGCACAACTTGCACAATGTTAAGTGAGCCAGTATTTATTTACAATTAAGTTACAACTGTTATATAATTAGACATCGTAGCTGATGCGGTTTGAAATGTCGAATCTTGGCCTTTGAATTATCTTCCTTTTGCTATGTTTTAGACCTTTGCCGTTTTCCGGTAAATAAAATGACAAGTAGAACCATAAAAGCATGCCTCAATTCAGTTTAAATACATGCATTTTCGACTTTCCGATAAAAAAATACCACGGATATTCATTTCAGTTGATCATAGTTTTCTACAAAACTCTAATTCCGGTACACGCCCTTATTCACTTTCCTTAAGAACTTAGATTATATTTATTATACTTAGTTAATTTAAAAATATATCCACAAAGAGATAGCAGCATGAGTACGTCGCTCACACAACGATAGACATCTAGTGGAACCAACCTCCCTAATATATATAATATATTTTTCCGCTCGTCCTTTTTCAACACACCCAAACAACGGCATCGTTGAATCCCTATTTTGCACTGCTTCAGGAGACCATCGGGTCGGAGAGCAGCGATCGAAACGAGAAGGCTGTTGATATGTATTTGTTTGATACCTCCTCCTCCCTCTCTCACGCTGCTACTTTTCCCACCAGGCTGGCCTTCTACGCATCTACCCTACGTCGGCTAGTGCCCTCTCGTAAACCCCGACGACGCGGCAAGCAGAGTCTCGAAGCAACGTAGACGGCATCACCAATAGCAACAGCAGCGATCCTGGCTGACCAATACCGAACTTAACCCCCATCCTCTTCTCTCGAACTCGCCTTCGACCGGTACGATGCGAATCGTGGCGGCCAGAAGTCTTGTAGATGGTGGACACTGAGGCTGCGCCTGTCTGCGGTGCATGAGGCAACTTGCGACAACCTGAATCAACGTGGGTAGCGGTGGTGAGGGGTCATCGCCGTGTCGTTGATAGATGTTATGTGATATAGATATTCGCTCGCTACGGCCACAGCAGCTACTATCGGAGGGGTTTCCGTCGACGGACGTCGGAGCTTGGGGAGCTCAGGAGAGCTGAGCAGGGTTACGTAGGTGGGTTTGGTGAGAAAGTCGAGCGATAGGTTCACTGGCTGCTGTTCGATGGAACTTGCCGGGTGAAACACAGACGGCCTAGATGGGCCGTAGGTAGGAACACAGATGTCGAAAAAGGTAAGGGAGAATACTAGGTCAGCCAAAACGATCGTCGCTACTATTATGGATAAGCAGCATTATACGACATGCGCGCAAGGATCAAAGAATAGCGCTATCCATCTCGGAGGTAAATAGGTAGCTAGACGGGCAACGAAACGCAGGAAAACGGCACATATAAGTTAGTGATATAGCCGGGAAGCTAAAAGCCAAATGGCTGTAGGATTCTAGCTTCATTGTGGACATGTCGTGGCCGCTGCGTAGCGCCATAGCATTAAAATATCGAACTTCAGATCTAACATTGAGATATGTATGCAGGAAACAGCCATTAAAGGTTTATTTTGTTATGCACCGGACAACGTGCCAAACGCATGCAAGGCATACTGAAATCCAAAATACATGCGTCAGCTCATAGTATGGACAATGACTAGAAATAGAAGGAGGATGAAAAGACCCGAGATAGCGTAATCTAAAGAATACTAATGCAATTCATTATCGCAATAAATATCGTAGTATATCTATGTTTGGCGTTGATTTTTTTTATAAAACGAATTTC